AGCATTTGTTTATGGGTAAAAGCAGGAAAAGAATTAAATGGAAGCTCCTCCTAGGAAGAGGTTTGAGAGTGAAAAAAAACATGAAGTTGGCAGTAGCCTCAGAGGACGTGTGGTCAGGCAGCAGACTGGCTGAGCAACTGCTGCAATGGGTTGCAGAACCCATCCGCTCTATTCCTGGAACAGACATGGAGAAGACAGAAGAGGCAGGAGGGATTCTTTCTTCTTTATTCGAAAGTATTGCCTCCAGCATTTGTTACTCACTGGAGACATATTTTACTGTTGCTAAAAGTCAATAAAGAGATTCCACACTTATAATTATTATCATAGCGTAAGCATGAAAAACAATTTCATCTCAAGTGTCAGTGTCTAGTTGATTAACAGTAACTCCCTGCAGGGACAGGATAAGCAGGATCCCGAGGCTCAGTCCAAACTCAGCGGGAAAGACTGACTCAATCAGTGCATTAGCAGCTGCCATGGGCATTATATTTCTACGATTCCGGTGCTGGAGATACTGAAGGCGTTGGGGAGAGTGGCAGTGTGACATGCATTTGTTTGCACTACAATTTGGCTGTATTTAGGAACCTTTTACTCAATTTGGTATCCAAAAGATGGTAACTGAATGTTAGGTTAAATTCTTTTTAGCGTACAATGCATTGATAAAAATGATTAGATATGCGATCACTTCATAATTACCTGGAAATTTGTCTGAGTAAGGAAACTGCTTATCCCCCAAGGGAAGGTAGACTTTGGCCTGTGTCCAGAATTCATGAGAATTTCAAACCAAAGTTTAGACACAAGCTCTTCCTCCTGACAGCAGGGTGTTTTTAATAATTAAAACAAGAAATTTGGAGTGAGAAGTCTTAGAACATCTTCATTCTTCCACTGATGATTCATCTGACCTCAGAAGCCTCTGGGCCTTGTCCTTAGTCAACAGAGAGTGTCTCCAACATCACTGGGCTTTCACAAACCACCCACATCAGATGTAAATATTGACAGATACCTCGGAAGGCGTTAAATATCAGACTATCCCTCAGAGTTCACTTAACCACAGCAACAGCAGGATCTTGAGTCACAGAAGAAACGGATCTCTTGTCCTTACCTTTTCTTTTGTTTTTAGCTTTAAATAGCAGGCAGCGTCTGGGGAGGGGGGCGTCCAATATCCTAGATGAAGAGTGAAAAGTTTCTTTCATATAAAATCATCAAGTTTGGGGGTTTTTTTTAGTAATATTTTAGGCTTCTCCTGCACAAAGGAAGCGGTGAGGGTGAGGAGCTGGGTCTAGACCAGATGCTTACATTATATTTCTATGCTTCTGGTATCCAAAAGATGTTAAGTTAAATTCTCTTTAGCACACAGTGCCATGGAAATAAATGATTAGAGATGTGATCACCTCATAATTACCTGAAAATTTGTCTAAGTAAGGAAATTGCTTGGAGATACTGAAGAAGGCAATTTACTGGGCTCAACTGTCTTAAATTACAGAAAAGTGCATTGGCATCTGCCATGGACAGGGGAAGGGGTAGGGCAGTGAAATTTAGTGTTAGTAAAAATATACAAGGTTGTCATTAGGATGAATTAGTGAGTGAAAAGGGTTAGTGAACAAATTAATCCAACAGTAGAAACGAAATGTTTGGAAAGCAAAAAACAGAAGAGAGAAAGAGAGAGCATAATATGATTTAGGGTCAGGGAAATCACTTGCCTGATGTGAGGATTACAGCAGAAAGTGGCAAACAGTTCAGATCAGTNATGATTTAGGGTCAGGGAAATCACTTGCCTGATGTGAGGATTACAGCAGAAAGTGGCAAATAACAGTTCAGATCAGGNTGGCAAACAGTTCAGATCAGTTCAGGATTAGTGGCCAAAGGCACAAGGGAAGCTGTGGGCAGAGCAGCAATAAATTGGCAAGCACACACATAAGGCAATTCTCAGAAGGCACAAAAAAGGGCAGAGTGACACAGGTGTGAATTTTTAAATCCTCTCATGTTTGTGCTGCAGATGCTCTATAAGATATAAAAGAACACGGAACAATGATCTGCTCGTTTATTCTATTTTTTTATTGTTCACGTTCTTCAACACATTTTCCTGAGCTCCTGCTGTATGTCAGCAGCATGGTGGGAGCCCGGTGTGCAAGCGGCACTGTCCTCAGGAATCGTGAGGTTCTAATAGGGGCCAAGGAAGAGAAACGAACAGGAGAGAGAAGATGAAACCCTGGGGAAATGAAAATATGAGTTTCTAAAGAAAATGAGTATGTACAAAGGGATTTTCTGCATGAATTTTTGTAGGAAACATTAGCTGTGTGTAGAAGAGAGAAATCTGTTAGAGATACTCCTGCTTATTGATTTATTCATTTGATGGTGTGTACAAGGAACACATGAAGTGTTCTTAGGAAGTCTGTCTTCTGGAAGGGTCATCAGACTTAAGGTGCTGAAGCCATAGTTGAGTAAGGTAGTAAAGGCATGGCATGAAAAAAGGATATCCTGTTCCACCTGTCTATGTATTGCTCAATCTCATCATTTGTCGTATTCAAAGGGACAAAGGTAAGTGAGAGCATGAAAAACGACAAGCAGTTAGGATTTGATTTTGAGAGCTCACAATATACTAGGCCTTATGCATGCTCTTCACATCCATGCATCCAGGTTGAGAAGGTTGGAGTCCATCAGAAGGGGCCCTAGCCCCAGCTCCAGCATTTACTAGTTGTGTGACCTTGAATGATTCATGCCATGCCTCCAGACCTCTGTTTTTCTCATCTGTAAAGTGAGGATAGTTATAATAAACCAGGTTTTCCATACAAAATCACTATGTGGGATGTGGGTGCGTGGCAAGTGCTTAGTAAATGCTGGCTCATTTTTATCACGACTTTTGTTTATTCAGTGCCCTTCCGGAGGGAGCTCTGGTTTAGGGGGTAGGTGTCTGAAATGAGACTGGAGGGAAGCAAGAGGCCAGACAATCAAAGAGCCTTGCCGTTTAAAGTGCTCAGGATGTTGAATTTGATCACAAAGGGAGTGGAGAGCCTCTGTAGGGCCTTAAGGTTAAGATTGACAAGATCCAATTTGCATTTCAGAAAGATTGTTCTGGCAGCAATATGCAGGATGGTTTAGAGACGGGAATGGCTGACGCTGAGAACCCAGTTAGGAAGCTATGGCAGCAGCCCAGAGAGAAAGGCGAGGACTGCGCGCAGGCGGTGGCGATGGGGTGGACTGCGATGGAGCATTTAGGCCAAGAGGGGAGATACTGGTGGAAAGGGAGCGGGGGGCGGTGAGAGGGAAGAAGTCGGTAACTGCAGGGTTTCTGGCTTTATTGACTGGGTAGACGGTGGCAGCTTGGGCCAGATGGAATAAATGAAAACTATAATGCCAACTATTGCTGAATTCCAGCCATGTAATGCTGGCTGGTAAACTGCAAGGTGGCTGACACATTGGATAGCCTTTCATGAACTGGAAACATGCATTTAAAAAAACTATAGTTATGCAAGATACCTACTGGAATCTCGTAACAGACATTTCACCATAGGGAGAAACCATTAAAAAGACAGTTACCCAAGGCCGGAGGAAACTTTAAGACCAGCTTTTAAAGAAGGAAGTTGTTAGGTAAGAAGAGGTAAGAATTAGTAGATACTTGGAGATGGGGGGAAAGGCAAATTCAGAAATTCTGAGTTTAACTGGGGAGACAGGTAGTGGGAATGTGAAGGCACCGTGTTGCTTTCTCTGTGTAACTGTATTCGCTTTAGGACATAATACACAATCTCCTGAGCAGACGCTCAGGGAGTGCCCGTGTGGCAGGCGAGGGGCTGCAGCGCGGAACAGGGTGGAGGTGGCAGCCCCCACGAAGAGAACACGGGGAGGGGCGCTAATTTAGACTGAAGGGTCGCCAGCCAGCACTCCCAGGCCTGTTGCCAGATGACCTGCAAAGTGAAACAAAATCAGGTGTGGTATTGAGAAAGTTTGAGGCTCACTGGTTTAAATACTAGGTTAGCAAAACAGCCTTGGCAGCCAGAGCAAATAGGTAGGTGCCTAAAGGAGACAGACTAATCCCAGGAGGCCAGTGGAGAAAGGGGTGTAGGCCTTTCAGGGGAGGTGGCCAGCATGTCGTGTTTTGCCAGTATTATTCCGGAGGGAGCTGCCGGATATCAAAATGGTTGTCTTGTATCCAGTAGCCACTCCGAGAGCTGTAAGGCTTGGGAGAGAGCAGAGAAGGTGGGAGCAAGGGTGTGGTAAGCCAGGCCAGCTCTCACAAAGCCCTGTGCCCACAGCGGTCGGAAACCCAACGGGGCGCGATCGTTTCACCCGTTCTTTCTCAGGCAGAAACTGCGGGGAATGAACCACGGGGGGGCCCGGGCGGAAAGAAGGAAGAAACCAGGGCCACCCTGTAAAATGCGGTCAGTGCTTTCTCCTGCTTGCCTTTGGGGATCTTCATTTCCCCAGAAGAATTAGAGGACCACAGAGTCCTTGGCAAGAAACTATTGTGGAATTGCCACCAAGGAGATGTGGAGATACGATGAGGAAGAGAGGCCTCTGGTCTCTGTCAACAGTACTTTTTCAGTCGCCTTTTGCTCAAGTCCCGTTGACTTGAACAGCAATCCCTGGCAGATGGAGGCTGGAATGATTGGATTGGTGGGCTGAAATGTGGGTTTCTGAGAGAAAACAGAAGGTAAAAGGCTGGGCAGCACCTGGTGAATGCAGACCCTGCCCCGATCTGGGAAGGCAGGACATGGACACCCAGCCAGCTTTCCCAGTAACCCTTGTGCTGATGCCACCTTCAGTCTCGTAGGTGGTGTGGGACCCAGGGAGGGGTTCTCAGACCAGCCTGATGACTTGGATGTCCCTGGGCCCCACTCCAGTACAAATGAGTAAACTTGGGGCGTGGGGAGAAGAAAGACCATATGATCAGCCTCCTGCAGCTCTGCTGGGTTTGGGAGCCACGAGACTAATGGAATATTCTTTAGTATGCTTTTATTGGAAATCCCAGAGTACTTAATTCTTTTTCTCTTTTCTTCTTCTACTAGGCACTGGGAAATCATGAATTTGATAATGGTCCAGAAGGTCTGATTGATCCACTCCTCAAACAGGCCAAATTTCCAATTCTGAGTGCAAACATTAAAGCACAGGGGCCGCTTGCATCTCAAATAGCAAACCTTTACTTGCCGTACAAAATCCTTTCTGTTGATGGTGAAATGGTGGGAATTGTTGGATACACTTCAAAGGAAACTCCTATTCTCTCAAATCCAGGTATTTCCTACTTTTATAGCACTCCTTGCTTGAAAATAAATGCACCAGATCAGAGCTCGGCATGACTCTCGTGGACTGTAGGTGAGAGGAGGAACAACATGTGGCATTGGGCAAGTGGTGTCCTTGGGATGGCATCGACCAAACCAGTCTGGTGGCTCCCACATTGTTCTGAGTTACTTCTTAAAGACATTGGCTCTTCTGCTCAGTCACTTTTTTGTTGACAGTAGCTTTGTTTAATTCAGTGCATTAAAAATGGGAGGAGAAGCCCATTTAAATCCAGGGCTGAACAGCACAGAGGCATTTACTAGAGGATGAGCCACATAATCACTGTTCTTGTCCTGTGGAGTCAGGGTACCCCGAGCCAGAGCTCTACTTCATTTACCTTCTTGCCTTTTCTAGTATGGTTATCACATATCTAGTTAACTCTCCTTTCTCCCTTTGCCTTAGTCATCGCTTATAGTTTCAATGACTTTGCTGTATCTGGCTTTCTGGGAAATACGTATACATTCTTGAATGGACTGATGAGATAGATAGATAGCTATATCCATATATATTATAGAAGATATATATCTGCTATATCTATATCTATATATTTATATAGATGCACTTACATATAATCCTAAGACCATTCAAGAAACAATTCCTGAGCCACTTTTACAGGAAGGAACACTTTCACTGAAACACTGTCAGTGAGAAATTACATTTTCTGAAGTATTCAAATTAATTTCTTTCCATAGTTGAAGAAAAAGGAGAAACTTAGGAGCTATCAGAAATAAGAATTTACATCAAGAATTAACTGATACATCTGTCAGAATGTCTACCATCAATAAACCAACAAATGACAAGTGCTGGCAAGGATGTGGAGGAAAGAGAACCCTTGTGCATTGTTGGTGGGAATGCAGATCGGTGTAGTCACTGTAGAAAACTCAAAAAATTAAAAATGGACCTGCCTTTTGCCCAGTGATCACACTTCTGGAAATATATCCTAAGAATCCCAAAACACGGATCAGAAAGAATATAGGCACCCCTATGTTCATTGCAGCATTATTTACAATAGCTAAGGTTTCGAAGCAGCCCAAGTGCCCACCAGTAGGTGAGTGGATAAAAAAGCTGTGCTACATTTACACCATGGAAAACTACTCTGCCATAAAAAATGGAAATCTTCCCTTTTGTGACAGCATGGATGAACCTGGAGAGCATTATGCTAAGTGAGATAAGCCAGTCAGAGAAAAACAAATACCATATGATTTCACTTACATGTGGAATGTAATGAACAGAATAAATGAACAAACAAAGTAGAAACAGACTCATAGATACAGAGAACAGACTGACAGCTGTCAGAGAGGAGGGGCGTTGGGGGGCTGGATGAAAAAGGTGAAGGAATTAAGTAAAAAAACCACCAAAACTCAGACACAGACTTCAGTATGGTGATTACCAGAGGGAAAGGGGATGGGGGAAGTAGAACAGGGTAAAGGAGGGATAAATGGTGATGGAAGGAGACTTGACTTTGGGTGGTGAACACACACTATGGTATACAGATGATATACTATAGAATTGTACACCTGAAACCTATATACTTTTAGTAACCAATGTCACCCCAATAAATTCAGTAAACATAAAGTTTTAAAATAAGAATTAACTGATAAAGGAGACATAATTATTTAACCATTAGAAAAGCAATATATTTATTGTTGTTAAAATAGGTTCAGGCCAATGGAAACAACAAAAAAGTCAGCTGTACTTGACCCTGAGCAGCATGGCTGATCCTGAGGGGAGAGGGCCCTGCAGCCAGCTTGGGGCAGAGCAAGCTTGGGGCTTGGCTGCAATCTACCGAGGGGAGGTGGGAGTTGTCAGGTACTCCATGCAGCAGGTAGAGAGCTGGTCCACGGCTGACCGAGCCTTTGCACACCATGTGACACACAGTTACTAGCTATTGTTGAGGTCATTGTGGAGCCAGAAGGTGGCATACAAGTCCCTGGCTTTTGAAAGGTTTTAGAAGTCCCCTTATGATTAAAAAGTATGTGGCCCCACCCGATGGCCTGACCAACAGTCTCAAGCTGCTCCCATCACAAGGGACAGGTTTCAGTCTTGTTGGTGTTTGAAGAGATGACTACTTTTTCTAACTGGAGCTGTCAGGCTCCTGGGTTTTGAAAGTTCTATACAAGATATTATTGATGTTTCAGCAATTTTATTTTAGTGAAGGTTTATAGAAATTTTGCATAAAGGAGTCTATGTCCTCTGGAGGACTCCCTTATCACCGAATACTGGATATGACTTCAGGGCAGTGTGTCTGTCTGTGTTTGCGGTCACCTCTGTGCCAATAAAAGTCATTACACCTCCAGGCTTTCTAAGGCTCAGCTACAGAGATAGAGACTGGTGGTCTCGCCATACTTAGTAGCACATGCTGGCAGCCCCCAGAGCACCCGGGCTGTGCAGTCACACTCACACTCACACTCACACTCGCCAGCCCCGCCGTACCTACAAGCAGTGATCTGTTACCACCTTGTGGGGAGTGAGCAGCTGGGGGGATGTGTGTGCCCCCAGGGCAGCAGTGTTCATACACACTCCCGTGCTGGCCTTAGCAAGCGAGCAAAGCAGAGTTGTCAGCTGGCATACTAAGATTGTCATTCAAGAACTAGTTGCTGACAGAGTTTTAAATTTAAGATTGATTATCCTGAACTTGCAAACAAAGTCTTAGAATTATTCATCTGTTTTGTACTCTGTGCTTATGTGCCCAGGCATTTTCTGCTTTGGTGCGATGGAAGTCTAAATATACAAATAGAATAGAAAACAATAGGCTTGCAGGTCTGAAGTTTCCTCATAGTTTGAGCTTGAATTTGAGCAACAGAATATCATCCACAACCTTAAACTAATGAATGCAACATTAAGTGGATGTAACTGAGAATCAATAACCTCCGGGGGGGAGGGGCCTTTGTAGCGATTTTATATTTAATTTAAAAATATGTGTTGGCCTTAGTCATTTAAGAGCTTTAACAGATTAAGGTGTTTTTACTTGGTATGTTAGTGTGTGCAATAGCAGTATAGTAAAAAGCATTGTCAACAAATATTCATTTCATTTGTTTTGTTCCTTTTAGGACCAAATTTAGTATTTGAAGATGAAATCACTGCATTGCAACTTCAAGTAGATAAGCTGACAACTCTAAATGTGAACAAAATTATTGCCCTGGGACACTCTGGCTTTGAAATGGATAAACTCATTGCTCAGAAAGTGAAGGGTGTGGATGTCGTGGTGGGAGGACACACCAACACATTTCTTTACACAGGTAATTGTTTCAGAGGATTATACCACACAGGTAATTGTTTCAGAGGATTATACCAGCCAGGATGTCTGTTTATCTTAGTCTCTTTTGCCTTTGCAACTATTATTATTGCTTTTACTACTATTTAACATATTACATAAATTATATAATATTTAACATATTATATATAGGTAACACACATTGAGAGGTAATATGTGTAAATCTTACTCAAAGAGTAATTTGTAGCCCTAGCCAGTTTTGCTCAGTGGTTAGAGCACTGGTTCACAGACTGAAGGGTCCCTAGTTGTAGAATGATATGAAAAGAAGATGTTTAGTAAATAGAAGTTTGCCCTGCTATATAAGTGTATCAAAAAGGTTATCAGTGCTATTATGGGCAAGGTCCCTAATTCAAGTTTTTCTAAGTAGTTAAAGAAGGGGCAGAAGTTTCTCTTGAGACTGAACCTAAAATTGCCTTTAGCTTAAACTAATCTGTACACCACTGAAACACATCTTGGGGTGGCTCGTTCTAAACCTCCCCCCCCCACCAGAGCATATGGATAATTTTTATTTCCCTAGAACTTTTGAGTATTTTTTAAAAATGAGTGCATGTTGCTCCTGCAATCAAAAAGAGAGAGACGCAAATTATAAAAAGAAAAGAAACACGATACTGGGTCAGAAGTTCTTATTTCTAATTCACTTGAAAGAACTTGAGCAGATCACTCCCCCTCTCTGAACCTGTCAGCTTGGTTTCAAAATACGGCTGATGATGTTGAAAGCCCCACATTGTTGTGAAAATTATGTGAGATGGTGCATGGGTAAGAGGGAGGAAGAAACTGTCTCCTACCCTCAAGGTTCTTTCAGTTGGTCTAATAATGAAATCTACATGAGAGATGAACAAGAGAAAGTAACTAAATTTAATTACGTATGTACGTATGGGAAACCCGCACACCTGAAAGTCAGAGACAGAGTGTTAAAATGTGGTATCTGTGAGCTAAGGATGAGGTAAGGCCCCTGAGGCTCCAGAGGGGAGGAAGGTCATTGAAGACCAAGCGTTCAGCAGTGAGAAGTATGCCTGCCCTATAGATAGGTAATAAAAAAACGTTATTTCTGGTGATAACTATTATTATGGGCAAGACTTCTAATTTAAAATATTTAAGGGAGAGATAAAAGTTTTTCCCGAGCCCTCAGGATCTTGATTGTCTTCAACAGAAAATGACCCATAGGCCATAGTGGCACATTGTGGGGAGGCCTGACCGACCCCCTTCAGTGGAGACACTTTATAAACAGCTATATCCTGTGTGCAGTGGTGTAGAGGTTGCCCACTGGTAAAAATATGCCATGCAAAATGGTGACACTGGTGAACTATTTCACTGGTGGGACTGGCTTTCATGTAAGAAAATTGTCAACATAAGAAACATTCCAAACCAGTGGAGAACTTTTGTGAGTTTATTTGAGCCAAACTGTCGACAATTGCCAGGAAGCAGAATCTCAACAGATTAAGGTAATGCTTCGGAGAATGGCAGCTTTGCACCTTATTTTATAGGTTACAATCAAAAGAGGAAATATACGTGGGTTACATGAAATCCATTGGTGATAGATTAGGGAGTCGGGAGAAAGCAAAGCAAGGAAACCTCTGGGATTGGATAAAAATAAAATGATAGACACATACTTCTTTTACATAGATGGGTATAGGATAGCTAACAGTCAACAATTAGCTCAGTAACAATGAGGGGATCTGTGACCTCTACAGAGCAGTGCCTGTGCTTTGAGGGGTCCAGAAAAAGGAAAATTTATTTGACATTCAGAGATATGTTAGCTTAGATGCAAAAAGACAACAGACAGGCTAAGTTAGGGCAAAGATTGAACTTTTTCAGGAAAGATACTGGTCTAGGACATGACTACCCACCATAAAGTACTTTTAGTTTAAAAGTTGCAATTTCAGACCATCTTTTGTGGTCACTTTAGGTCTCTGAGTTTGCAAGCCCACCATGCAGGCCTTCCCTGAACTAAGTCAGGTTAGCATGTGGCCCCTTTTCGTGCACAAAATAATGCCAGAATTTACATGAGCTACTTCAACTCCTTCACAAGTCTTTTACCTGTTGGTAGATAGAATTTCAAACTGGATTATATCCACTAATGACTGTTAAGGCAATGTTGTAAATTAAAAAAAACAGTAGGGTTTTTCCAACAGACTAGACTGAAATAGATTAGGCACTCAAGCATTACCCCTTCGTTTAATTTTCCATTGTTTAATGGGAAAAGATGTATATAAAATGGTGAAAACAGCTCCAGGCACATAGCAGGCAATGGGTGAGTGTGACAAGAATGGTGATGGACAGACAGTGATGTGAACTTCCTCAGTGTAAGTAATGGTGCCGTCAAACATCAGAGTGCCACTGAAGCGACTTGGGAGAGTTACATGGACTGACTGCCAAGACCAGGGAAAATCCAGAGCTGCACCAGGTCGAGCGCTCTGGGGTCTGACTCTGGCTGTGCCACTAACTGGTGCTTCCATCCTACCTCTGCCTGATTTCCCTCGCTGCAGGACGAGGGTGGTAACAACAGAAACTATTATAAAAGGTCACCGTGACTTCATACATGTAGAGGGGATGTAGGGGAGGAGCCTCGGAACAGGCCTAGTACTTCAGCCATTCTCTCAGTCACGTCCCAGCTCTGTGGGGAAGACCCACGAAAAACCCTTCCCTGGAGCCTTTTCTTAGCTTTTCTCTGAGGCGCGGTCAGGACCCTAGACACACCATGGGAGCTGGATATGTGCTTCCCACCCCCGCACTCTTGAGAGCAGTGATTTTGACCTTTTTTTACTATGATCCATAGTGAGAAAGGCATTGTATGTGTGCGTGTGCATTCTCTCTCTCACACACGCACACACAAACGGCAACTTTTACAGAGCACCCAGATGCACTCTGACACCTCCTGTTCTGCTGTTCCATTTTTCTAAGCCCCAGTTACCACCCATTAATCTTTTCATATTGTAGCTAGCCCATATTTTGAAAAACAGCTTTAAATGAGGCCGGACCAAAATGGTGCACAAACAATCACAGGACTCGAACCCCAACTCGGGCCTTGCCTTTACATTATTACCTAATTGATCCCTCTTACAGCACCCGGGCCTTCTGCCGCCTTGGCCTGTGGCCATCAGTGAGTGTGCCTGCCGGGTCTGAAAGGGTGGTGGCTGTGCTCGGCTTCCTTTAATTCTGCAGCCTGTCCTTTTGTTCTTGTCGCTTTGTTCCAGCCAGTGAAGTCCTGCAGAATAATATGTGCCTTTGGCTAAGTAGTTGAATTTAGTTAATGATGAATGACTGGATGAAAGAAAGACGTGTGGATGAAAAGTATAATTTGCTTTTCCATATATGTGAAGTAGATCATTACAATCTTCGAAAAATAAATGCCTCTAGAGTCTTAGTCATCTATTCCAGATTCCCTGATTGCTTACCAAGATTAAACGTGTTCTTGTGAAAATATTCAATTTTGATACTCATGATTTTGAGGAATGAGCTGACAAAGGTAATAAGCTAATTCCAGGACACAATAGGGGATGTGATATATTTGCTTATTTAAATATTTTTCTCCAGCCTTAAAACAAACAAACAAATAAAACACCGCCTTCACTAAATTGTGTGAATTGAATTAGCATAAAGTTAAGTTAAAGTTAAATATTACTAGTTAATAAAAATACAGTTAAATAAAATATACATCCCTTGGAATTTCAAGCCTTGCTGAGAATCATTTTGGCACACACGCAAGACCTGCCCCCCTCCCGGCACACACACATACATACAGACACACACACCTGAAAGAGAATTTCACAAAACATCTGAATTGCACCCAATATTGTTTCTGTTTTGTTACTTAGTTTTTGTAATGCTGGTTACCACCTGTTAAATTAGTTTTATTGTATTATAACTGGCCTATATTTTTGAAAACTCAGCTTTAGGGGGGTCAGTGAAGCCTGGAAGTGTCCATTTGACCCCTTAAGAGATCAAATACATGGTGATGGCAGGAGACTAGACTTTGGATGATGAATACACATGCAACACATCTTTCTTTCATCCAGGAGGATAGTTCTGAGGTCTTTTCTGGGGCCCCTCTGTCTGGTCTCATGGGCAAGTAGCCAGGAGGTCATTCCACTTTAGGGCTCAGGAGCTGAAAAGTAACAGGTCAAGATGTTATCTTTAGCCTGCCAGAGGCTAGACCTTGTGACCGGTAGTCAGCTCCAGGCTACAGTCCCCTGCTGCCTCGGGGGGTTGCTGATTACCCAGGGAAAATGTTAAGTCTCTGAGGTTTAAGGGTGGAGGGGATGCTTCAGGGGGAGGATATGATTTCTAGAGCTGATTTAAACCTAAATTTTATCAAAGTCATAAGGAACCTCAGTCTCAGGATGACTGTGTTTCTTCAATTTTTGTTTTGATTTTTTCATTTGTTCTATAAAACCCTGTTTCTATAATGTAAAAAGTGAATAGGAAGTCTGATGTCTGGAAGGATAGTAAGCCACAGGGATGACTTGATCCTATAGAAGAGAAGAGGGTGACAGACAGCAGGGGTATCACTCCTTCCCTGCTCTATTTTCATGGTTCAGACTCTCCTAGCCCCTTACAGACGTAGCAAAGACCTTAGGCCTGGCCCCACCAGGCAGTGGACATCCAAAACACTGGGCACTTGTTGGAGCTCTGTACATGTTTGCTGAGTGAGTGAATGATGCGTGGTAACCCATTCCCTGTACGGCTCCCTGATTTGCCCAAACTAGTCATGGCTGAGTACAGCATGGATTGTATTTCAGGCCAGCTTCACCTAGACTAGTAATTTTCAAACAGTATGCCACCAGAATTTTTAAAACATGAAATACCTGACTATTTAGTCAGGGGCACTGACCTCTTTTCCCTTAGACTGTCAAAAAATGACAATAGCAGTCACAACAATAGCCGTCTGGTGTAAATAAATCAAAATTATACCTAAGTTTTTTGTCAGATCAGCAAAAAATATTTTTTGGTGTGGCACAGAATTTT